ACAGGACCACATCTCCACAGACCACGTCCCACACAACCATGTCCCCACAGGACCACATCCCACAGGACCACATCTCCACAGACCACGTCCCCACACAACCATGTCCCCACAGGACCACATCCCCACAGGACCACATCCCACAGGACCACATCTCCACAGACCACGTCCCCACACAACCATGTCCCCACAGGACCACATCCCCACAGGACCATATCCCACAGGACCACATCCCACAGGACCACATCTCCATGGACTATGTCTCCACGGACCATGTCCCCACAGGACCACATCCCCACAGGACCACATCCCACAGGACCACATCTCCACAGACCACATCCCCACAGAACCATGTCCCCACAGGACCACATCCCACAGGACCACATCCCACAGGACCACATCTCCACAGACCACGTCCCCACAGAACCATGTTCCCACAGGACCATATCCCACAGGACCACATCCCACAGGACCACATCTCCATGGACCATGTCTCCACGGACCATGTCCCCACAGGACCATGTCCCACAGACCACATCCCCACAGACCACGTCCCACAGGACGTCTCCACCGAACCTCATCCCCACAGACCACATCCCCATAGACCATGTCTCCACAGGGCCACATCTCCCCACAGGACCTCATCCCCTCAGGACCTCACCCCGTGTATCCGAGGAAGCTCCAGGGTCCCCAGAACCAGCTTCATGTGGCCAGGCCTGGCCCTCCTGCCCAGTGTCCTGCCCTGCTCCCTTGCAGCCATCACTCTCAGGTGCCCTTGAAGCTGGAGGGCAGGTCAACACTGTACATTTCACCACCACTCAGCATTGGCCTGGGCTGGTTAGGAAAGCACTGGGTCTTCCAGACCCTCCTGTGCAGCCAGTCCTGGGGCCTGAGCTTACATATGCAGCTCACATCCCCTCCAGGACAGAGCCTGGTGATGGCATCTATAACAAGTATATGAGCTCGCAAAGGGGGCACATGTGAGTCCCCAGCCCCTGGTGGGACAGACAGAGTGGGCCAGACACAAGACAGCCCCTTCCGCATACACGTGACCCTCGGACTTAGGCCAGCAGCCAGGAGCATCAGCACCCACGTATGGACACAAGGCAGCCCCTTCCGCACATACGTGACCCTCGGCCTTGGGCACCCAGGAGCATCAGCACCCACGTGTGCATGCTCGTGTAAGTCCTTAGCCGGCTGCAGGGTGGAGAGAGGGGTGGGCAGCTCTGGGAGTCTTGGTGCTGGGTGTGCTCCTGGCCTCAACGTCTCCTGAGCAAACTGGGGGCTCTGTGGTGGTGTAGGGAGCCATGGACTGAGCCCTGAGAAGCTCAGGTAGGCAGCCAGGTGGGGGGTGGCAGACCTAGAGCCTTGGGCAGCCGCCAGCGGCCGCCTCTGCCAGCCACCACTTTGCAGCCGTGTTTGCAAACCTCAGCAGGCTTGCCAAGCCTGTGCAACCCGCATTGTCTTCTGGCTGGGCCTCCGCCAGAGACACTCCACAGGAGCCACTCGGGGCAGTTCCAGGACACTGAGGGTGGAGGTCTGGTGGCCGACCCTGGACGGGGCTGGCTGACTGGAGTCTCCATGGGCAGCCCTGTGTAGGCAAGTGCCACCACTGACCAGCCTGTCCGTGGGAATGTGGCTGCAGCTCCCTACACCTCTCAAAGCCCTGGGGTGTGGTCCACTCACCCTGGGATAGTGAAGCAGCTCTCACCCCGTTCCACAGGCCCCAGGCCAGGGTTACCCAACACACGCCAGCCTCCCAAAGAGAGGAAATACTCCTGCAACCTGGCAGCTCCTCCCACAGCGGCAGACCCAGGCTTGGCGTCCTGGCAAGGTGTGGGCTGGGCCTCTGCAGCGTACAAATGCCTCCCCGTGTGGGGGTGCCCTCCCTGGACCAGCAAGCTGGGATTGGCAGCAGGGCTGGAGCTGGCGGACTCCAGTGTGGAAGACACAAGCCCCTGCAGCCCAGCTGGCCATCAGCTGCCCACTCGCAAGCAGGCCAGCTCCCAGCGGCCACGGCCTGCCCAGCCTGCCCTCTTCCATGGCAGGAGCTCCAGGTTATGCACCCCCACCCAGCCCGGTACCCTGAGGGATGGTCTCACCCTATCTGGAGTGGCTGAGCCTGGCTAGGAAACGTGGAACTGTCTCTGCTGCCCCTCCCCGGCCCTCTAGGGCCGCCGAGACCCCCAGACGGTCTGGCTCAGGCCTGGGTAGGTAACCAAGCATCTCAACCGAGCACAAGGCCGAGCTCCCACAGCTCAGTTCTCTCAGCCTCGAAGCCTCCTGGTTCCTATCCCACCTCGGGGCTCCATGTGCACTGGCCCACGCTGCAGGGGCCTGGCTGGACCCCTAGGCATCCTCCCAGCAGCCTCCTGGCCCCCCACCAGAAAGGAAACACACTTCAGACAAACAGAACTTGCTCAAGACTCGCCCAAACCCCACATTCCAGACCTGTGGGTGAGGGGCTCTGGGCCAGCCGAGGTTAGGGTGCTACCAGGACACCACAGTGCCTGCCCTGCCCCGGCCCCTTCCCCGGTCGGTTGTCCTTGTTGTTCCCAGGTCACAGCGTGCCCCGCCACCCCAAGCAAGGCCTTTGCTGTTCTTCCGAAGGTGCCTGGGCTCTGTACTGAGAACCTGGCCATGTGGAGTGTTTCCCACATCGAGGGGGAGGAAAGGGTAGGGCCTGGCTGGGATGCTCTGAACCAACCCTTGGCTGGGGCTCTGGCAGGACGGAGCTGGTGGCTGCTGTTCTGGCATACTAGCCCAGGCCGGACACTCACAGCCACGGCGAGTGTTGATGGCTGTGTCCCCTCTGCCCACCCAGACCCCGGCGCTCCTTGCAGGGTAACCTCCGTCACAGCACATGATGGCCACGCCCCCACCTACCACGTCAATGAGCTGAGCAATGGACAAGCCGAAGCGGACAAGGACCACGTCCGAGATGTTGGCCACGGGTCGGGACCACTTGTTGTAACCCGAGAAGAGTTTCTTCAGGAGCCGCTCCTCGGCGTGGGCCCGGGTCTCCACATGGCTGCTGGCTGCGGGGAGAGGCAGGTCAGTGCTCAGGTGCAGGTGGGACAGGAGCCAGGAGCTGTCCTGGCTGCCCCAGTCCCCTGCCCAGCACGCTCAGCCACATCCACTTCCTTTCAGCTCCTCACAAGAGCACCGCCCACCCCAGGACCTCTGCGTGTGCCGGGCGTGGCATGCGCTGCCCTCCTTTGGCTTCCGTCTCTCTCCCACCCCTGGGTGTAACTGTGATTTCCTCCGGGAAGCTTCCCAGGCCCCTCAGCCCACAGAGGCCTTTCCAGCACCTTGCACCGCACCACAAAACCAGGCAATGGATGGGCTGAGAACTGCTTTGGGTCCCCTAACTGACTTCTAGGGAAGGGCTGTGCCTCCAGCGGCCGGCGAGTCAGAGGACACTTGGGGGTAACAGCAGCACGGGATGGGGCACAGGGCAGCGGGGCCAGCCCAGGCAGGGAGAGGGAGGAAGAGGAAGGAGGATCGGCCCCCAAAAGCGCCCACTTCCTAGGGAATCTCCTGTGGTTCATCAGTCCCCTGATGCTGGAGAAGTGTTTCAGATGCAGGTGCCCAGCCCCCTCCGCACCCCAGGCCTCCGCACCCCAGCCCCCTCCGCACCCCAGCCCTCCGCACCCCAGCCCCCTCCGCACCCCAGCCCTCCGCACCCCAGCCCTCCGCACCCCAGCCCCCTCCGCACCCCAGCCCTCCGCACCCCAGCCCCCTCCGCACCCCAGCCCCCTCCGCACCCCAGCCCTCCGCACCCCAGCCCCCTCCGCACCCCAGCCCCCTCCGCACCCCAGCCCCCTCCGCACCCCAGCCCTCCGCACCCCAGCCTGCCCGAGCTCTTGGTCAGACCCAGAACGCCCTTGATGAGTCGCTCTGGAGGAGCACAGCCCCAGGTCGAGCACAGCCCCAGGTCCATCTGTGCTCCAGGTCTGGGGCCCGGGGTCTGAGGCGTTCCCCGCCTGTCCTGGGCGCTGCCACATGGGGCGGGTCTGGATGGAGGGGGACCTTCCACCTCCCTGCTGGGCCCCGCTCGCCTGAGAGCGCAGACAGGACTGGGGAGGGGGAGGGGTCAGTTCTACACCCCTGGGAGCCTTGACTCCAAGCCCGGAGTCCCTACTCCCGACTTTGTTCTTCCTGCAGAAAAGGTGGGTGGGGGCCGCCAAGGGCAGAGGCCACCCCTCTGATCCCCTAAACCGGAGGAAGCAGGCATGGGAGTCTTCAGGGAAATTTAGCCTGATGGATGGGGGAAGGGCGAAGGGGGCCCCACCTCTGTTCAAGTTCGAGCTTTTGGGTCCAGCCCTGAAACAGCAGCGGAACCCCCACCCCCCGCGGAAACCCCCTTTCCCAGCGCTCCGCATTCGTCGGCGGTTAACTCCCTCCTCGCCTGGCTCAGCCCGGGTGCGAGCGCAGCCTGTGCGGCCGGGGATGGGGAGCCTCTCTGCCGCCCCGTTGCGCGCACCCGCGGCTTGGGATCGCAGTCAGGAGCCTCCCTCCCTCTGGCTCCGGGGGTCCCAGGCCACCCGAACGCGGGCGAAAGGGGGCCCATCCCGCGCCCCGAAACTTACCGCGCAGGAGGCCGATCCCCAGAAGCAGCAGCAGCGGGGGCAGCAGCCGCGGCGCCCCGGGGCCCCCGAGCTCCATGGCGCACGCACCTCGCGGGCTCTAGATGCGGGCGGCTCCCGGCTCCCCCCGGCTCCGAGGCCCGTGCGCGCCCAACTTCATGCCTCCCGCGCCTCGCGGGCCGCTTCGGCCGCTGGGCCCGGTTCCGCTTCTTCTGCGGGGCGCGGTGCGGCGGCGGCGGGGCCGGGAGCGCCGGGCTGTGGGCTCTGTGGCGCGGCCCCGCCCGGCCCTGCCCGCCTCAGCCGGCTGGGAGGGGGAGCAGGGGAGGGGAGAGGAGGGGGAGCAGAGGAGGGGGAAGAAGGGGAGGGGGAAGTATGGGGGGAGGGGACGGAGGGAGGGAAGGGAGGAGGGAGCAAGGGCCCGGGAGAAGGAGCGGTGACGGACCGCGCGCCCAGGGGTACTGGGAGGCTGCGCTGGGCCCCGGGCAGGGGTAAAGTTTCCTTGTCCGCCCGGGGTTCCAGACGTGCCTGAGTCAGGGATGGGGACCTCGGGGTCACTGCGTGCGACTGGGGGGTCCCGGAGCGGGTCTGACCTCCCTCCCCACATCTCCAGCCTGGGCGCCCGCTGCCTGCCTGGAGGGGTGGGGGCGCGTCTAGGGGATCCGGCTCAAGGAGAGGCGCCCCTAGCACATCTGGGTTACTCCATCGCGCCAGCCGGTGTCTGCAGCCTGAAAATCTCTGATCTTGTTCTCCCGCTAGCCGTTCAGGACTCTCTCCGCCTGCAGCCCCCGCCTCCCCCGGTACCTCCGCCAGGATCCAAGAGGCGTCCAGAGGGGAGCCCAGGCCCTGCGCCCGCCTTCTGGTGAGGAAGATCCCCTCCCCCTCAAGGTCCAGCCTGGGGTCAGGGTCTGTCGGCCCCCACCCCTTGCGTGGCCTGCGAGCCCCGTGGACTTCGTGGCATGAAGTCACGCCCCCATCCCCCCTGCAGTGGGTGAGGGCGTGTAACAGAGCGTCTCCCCGGCCGGGTGCTTGGAGAGCAGACCCGAGGCGCCCCTGGCCTGGCATTGAACAATACGGGTCGCCCCCGGAGGTGGCGCACGGTCCCCAGGGAAGGGCCCCGCCCTCAGGTGGGTGGCGAGGTGGCCGCCCACAGAGTAGCAGGTGCGTTGGAGGAGGGGCGCCTTGTGCGGCTGAACTTCGCGTGCAGGAGGAGAGGGCACTGGCTCTGCGGAAACATCAGACCCGGCCATCCCTGCAGCCGCGCCCCTGGCCCAGCCTCAGGCTCAGCCGCTGGGACACAGCCCCCGAAAACGGAGACTTCCGTCGTCGGTAATGGAGGGCAGAGCAGAAGGGGCTGGAGAGGTCCCGAGGCCCTCCGCTTTCACGCCCCTCCCTCCAAGGCTGCAGGTCGGGCGACGGAGCTGTCAGTCAGCAGTCCCCTGGAGCAACCCCCACTCCAGTACAGGCCTCTGGAGCCTTACAGCTCCCTTCCTATCGACTCTCCCATCTCCTCTGTCCCCACCCCGCACCTTCCTTCTCCTCCTCCTCCCAGCTTCTCTGAGCAGCCACTGCTCCTGCCCACCTGCCTCTCCCCTCTCTGCCCACCTCTCCTACACTCCTGATTCCAGGTTGAGCTCATGGCTCCTCATACACCTGCTCTGGGACGGGCAGGAGCTCCTCCTCACTGGCCGGAGCTGTCTGTCCGCTCTGTGGGCAGTGCCTGCAATTAGAGCTTTCAGAATGCACAGCTGCTGCGCAGTGGCCGGTTCCGCGACAACACCTGGCCTGCTTCTGTGGCCCTCCCAGTGCTGCTGGCCCAAGCAAGCTGGATGCAGGGACCCCCTGCACTTCCACGGCCCCCTCAAGGTGGGCTCTTAAGAGATAATGCAAGTGCAGAGAGGTTAAGCAGCTTGCTGAAGCTCACACAGCAGTACTGGGATTCCAACCCAAGCCATCTGGCTTTAGGGTCTGCACCCCGGCCTCCTACTGGCCTCAGGTGTAGTTTTGGGCTGAGGTGCCCTTACTGGGACAGATCCCAGGTCTGCTTTCCTGCAGTCTTTCCTGGAGCCACCAGTCTCCACCACCCACCCTGCTGACGGCTCTCCCTCAGACCACCCTGCAGATCCAACCCTCAATGGTTTCGAGGTCCTGTTTCCCTAGGCAGACTGAAGTCCCCCAAGGAAGGATTCCCTCTCTTCCTCCTCCTCTCCTTGCTCTCCCCAAGCCCCTGGGCAGTGCAAGACCCTGGTCCTTCTGGTCTACATGAAGCCCCTCCATGGGCAAGTTCTGTGCCAGGAACTAGAAGGTTCCAAGCTGGATGGAGATTTGGGCTGAGCAAGCAGCTGGTAAACACAGGGAGGGGAGAAGAGCAAAGTCCCCCTGAGGCCCCGTGAGGGCAGCCTGCTGACCTCTGACCCACTCACAAAACCCCACCCCCGCTCCCTGCGGCACAGCCCACGAGGCTCCCTGCTCAGGAAGGGGATGGAGAGGTGGCAAGGCCGGTGGCTCCCGCACAGGATAGAGCAGCCTGTGCCCTTTGGTTCAGGCCCCACCTTGGTGAGAAACCCCTGCCTGTGGTGTCGCAGAGCAAATGCCATTGGCAGAGCTGATTCCACATTCTTTTGTTGGTGGAGAGGCCAGCCACGCTGCGGTCCCGGCTGGAGTCCCTGTGAAACGGGGTTTTTGTTTCTCTGACTTGGCAGCTGGTCGAAACGGGGCTCATCTGCTGCTGATAAAGTGATGTCCGCCTCGTGGGTTCCACGCCCACACCCTGTGCCCCACCCTCCCGTGGCAAACCAAAGACCCCTTTGGGAAGGGGACGCCCCTGCTCCTGCGCTTGAGCTCATGGTTTCGCCCTGGACTTGCTAAAATTGAGGCCTCCTGCGGAGGTTATCTGGGGTCAGAGCAGGGGAAGGGGCGTGTGGTGAGCTGGGTGAATCCCTGAAGGGCAGCCTGAGGGCCACGGGCATCCACTCAGCTGGGCACAGAGGAGTTTGTTTAACTCCAGATTCTGGAGCCCCACCCTCAGACACGGTTCAGTCTGGGGTGAGGCCTCCACATCTGTGGCTTCCACCAGCCATTGCTGGGCAGCTCTGATGCAGGCAGCCTCGGAGTGCCCCGAGAAATGTCGGCTTAGAGCCACTTGGCGCAGGGCTGATGCAGAGGGTCAGTGTCCCCCATCCCAGCCAGGGCTCAGCCCGAGCCTGGTGTCCTGGCCTGGGGCAGGGGCTGGAATTTGCCCCGCGTTGGTGCAGGGGAAGAGGCCATGGGCCTCTCAGCAGGAACCTGGCAGAGGCTGGGAGGCTAAGCCAGCTTTGCCTTTTCTGTCTCCTGCTCACTTTTCCAACAAAACAGGCCCAGGCTTCCACGGGGTCTAGCGGTCTCAAGCCTGCGGCTCTCCCTGGTGGATTCCCGCAGGTGAGTTTGCTCTGAGAGCTCAGCCAGGGCCAGCAGGCATGTCCCTCCCGGAGCCAGGGGCCAGGCCAGGTCAGCTGGATGTCCAGGGCTCTGGCGACACAGCCCTGTGGCCAAGTGCGCACGCTCCCACGCATCTGTCCAACCTCGCCGGCTTCCCCTTTGGATTTGCTAATGCAGCAAGATTAATCGGGTCTAACTCATTAATTTGCACAGCCCCTCCCTTCCACCTGCGCCCGCTGGAGAGCGCTGGTTGTGGGAACCCAGTAATCACCAAGGCTGAATTAGATTCCGACTCTGCGTCCTGGCCCTTGCCTCTGCTGCTCCTGAAATTTCTGCTGCAAGGGAAACAAAAGCTCTGGGTTCAAAGTCCAGTGAGACCAGATTTGGGGGCACAGTTCTTCCTTGGCCTGAGTCGCCCTAGGGGGCTTGCGGGTGGGTTTGGGGACACAGCCAGGCCCTTGCAGACACCAGCCCCCCACCCCCACCCATGTCACCACCAACTCCAGGCTGTCACTGGCTACGGTGCAAAGCAGCTGCCCCGGGAGGACGGCTCTGGGGGTGTTTTTTCTCCCTCCCTCACTGCCCTCCACCTGCCCATGGTAACCAAGGGTTTGTAGTAAAGGTGAGAGCATTGGGGGGCACCAGCTGAGCCTGAGCTGCACCCGAGGAGATGGCTGCGGGAGGCAGAAGGCACCGCGCTGTGGGCTCAGCCCATGGACGGGGGGCCCTGCCTGTGCTCCCATCACCCCCGAGGACTCAGGACCTGGGCTCAGGACCAAAACCCTCTGTGGGGCCAAGTCACTCGCACCCCGTCTGTGAGGCCTGAGCACGACGCCACGCTTTGCTGCTCACCTGAGTCTGGCCTGCGTCCCTCCCACCCTGTTCCTCTGAGGCAGGAAAACCACGAGGCCACACTAGTGAGCAGCCACGTCGACCCCCAGGCCACCTGCCCCTTCACAGACATGAGTAACCCATAAATGAGAGTGGCCTCCTGGAACCTCACCAGAGCCCAGGTGCTCCCGCAGGCTTGGCTCCCTGCCCCAGGCTGTGCTCCCAGCTCCCTGCCCTCTCCTGGTGCTCCCTGCCCTCCCTACCCTCTCCTGGTGCTCCCTGCGCTCCCTACCCTCTCCTGGTGCTCCCTGCCCTCCTTACCCTCTCCTGGTGCTCTGCCCTGCAGGGAACAGACAGTGCTTTTCCTCCGGTTTAGAGAGGAGATCTTGGAGCCCTGTCTGTCCATTTTACTCAGCCCAGGTTTTGAAGACCGTTAAGTGTAGGAGAAACATGGGAACTGGGCCCAGATTGCCAAAGGGGCAACGCGTTCTCCTCACGCCCCCTCTTTCCCCACCTGCAGCTGCTTTCATCCTGGGCCCTGGCTAGAGCTGCGTTTGCTGAAAAGCTATAGGGCACAGCTGCTGGGGTGATAGTGGGAGACGGAGGGTGATAGTGGGAGACGGAAAGGTTGGTTGAGAGGCCTGATTCCTTCCAAGCATCACAACCTGAAAATCACCAAAGGTTTTCCTTGTTGAGAAGGAGTGAATGGCAGCACCGGAAGCCAAGGCCCCTCCCCACCAAGACACCAGCAGCTGATCCCCACCTTCCCAACCAAAGCCACGAAGCAGAGGCCGAGCCGAGCCAAGGTCAGGGCCTGGGGCCACGGTGGATTTCCTCCCATGGGAACGTCCTTAACATCCGCAGCTCGGGCCTGAGGGTCTGCCACCGGACCCAGCAGCTGCCACAGGTGTCCTGGCTCAGGGCTGGGGCTGTCTGCAACTCCCCTCTCCCCTGAGCCCTCTGAGTGGGGTTCCCCAAGCTCCGAGGGGCTCCCGCCACACCTGGGCTTCCTGGGGGCTCTTTGTAGACAGTGATTGATCTCCCATTGGCTCCAGTTTCGTGGCTGTGTTTCTGCCCCTCCCTCCACACTCCCTGCCTCTCTGCTGAGTAGCTAATTCACTCTAAGCACGCTCCAGAGGAAGGCTCCAGCCTCGCAGTGGAACTGCAGCCATGCATGAGAATGATCCGGCACCCAGGTCTGCCTCCACGTCCCGCTGATGGCCCAGAGACCGTGCGGCGGGAAGGCTGGCAGCGAGCTGAGGGTTGGAACTCTGGCTGCGCCCCTGCTGCCAGGGGACCTCAGGCAAGTCATCTTTTTCTCTGAGCCTTAGTTTCCTCAGCTGTGGGGACGGTTCCAGCCCTGAGTCACTGGGCTGTTGTGAGGATGGAGATGAGGTCGTGCAGGCTCCTGGGTCCAGCAGTCATTCTTCTGCACTCTCAGGGGAGCCCTTGCCAGCATCTGAGGGTCACGGTTCAGTGGCTTCAGGGTCCGGACAGGGCCGGAGGCCAGGCCCAATATGGTGCAGCTAGGGGAGAGGGCAGGCCCTGGGGGCCGTGGGCCATCGGCTCACAGCCACATCAGGGGCCAGGAATCCCACTCAGGGCTCAGCCCTAGGCTCCCCCCAGCACCCCCTCCCAATCCAGAGGACACTTCCAGCCCTGAGCAGTGGGCTCTGGGCAAGCGACTGGAGAGGGAGTGCATCTCGGCTCTTTGTGAGGAATTATGTCCTGACAGGTCACTGGCACAGAAAAGCCCTTTGTCCCAGCCAGCTGGCTGCCTAATGATGTCCAGCCTGCACCCTTCCAAGGCCACCTCTGAGTCCAGAAAGGATGGAGCTGGCTCCTGCCTGGGAGGCACAAGGGCCACAGTTTCGCTGGGGTCGGGGTGGGGAGGGTGGGTGAAGGCTCCGAACACCTCTGCACGTTGCCCCGGAGCTGCGGACGGAGCTCAGGTAGCCGCCAAGACTTGCTGTAGATCCGGTGACCCCTCCAAGGAGAGTGCTGAGTCCTGGAAAATTCTCTTCCTCCTCCTCCACCTCCCTGTCACCTTACCCTCTCCTGTGTTCCCCAACCAGGACCCCAGTAAAGAGGAGACCCCTGCCGTTGTGGATGTGGCTTTCCCCAGTGCCCACGAGACCCCTGGGGCCTGGCCCCTCTGGGCCCATAGAAGCTCCCATGAGATTCTGATGCATGGTGAGGGCCTCACACCCTGCCCTCTGGCTGCCCCTCCTCCCTAGGGCATGTACCCAGTGCCCACCTCAGCCTCCCCAGGCATATCAGGGCCCCCACTTTCTGGGGTATGTGTGAGCCACGGGACCCCGAGTCAGGAGATCCACGCCTAAGCCTGATTCTGCCCCCTCCAGGTTCGGGACCCTGGGCAAGTCCTCCCACCCGTCTTAGCCCAGCCTCCCCACCCATAAAATCGGGGCTGCTTGTCCCGGCTCTGAGGCTTTGCGAGCAGGCCTGTCTCTAACTGAGGGAGGGTGCTGCAAACTCCAAAAGGCCCCCGTCCCAGGGAACACTGGGGGGAACTGTCAGAGAAGCGACCCCTGGACCAGAGCCCTGAGTGGGCTTTCTTCCCCTCCCCACCCTGCTGAGACCACCCAAACCTTGTTAAGATCAAAGGTTCCCTGGGGAGCCACACAGCCATGCTGGACACTCCCTGCCAGACCTTCTAGACCAATTCCTGGGGACCCATGTCCCACAAACACCAGCGGGAAAAGGCAGCAACATGGGGTCTCCCTCCCCCTCAGCCAAAGTGAACTGTGTCAGCAGGTGTCTCCCCGCTGCTGAGAAGGAGCCAAGGGACCAGGATGGCCGCTGGCTCCTGCAAGTGGAGAGGGTCTCCCTGGGGCCTGAACTGGCTGAGGTCTTGCAGCAGGTGAGGAAGCTCTGGACAGTCCCGGCATCTCCACCAAAGTCAGCAGAATGGCTGCAGGCCCAGAGGCACAGAGCACAGATCATTTTCCTGTGTGTGTATGTGGGATGTGTGTGTGCGTGAGATGTGTGCACAGTGTGTGTGTGCATGAGATGTGTGTGTGCATGAGATGTGTGTGTACATGAGATGTGTGTGTGCAGGGTGTGGGTGCACCAGGCTTGTAGATGCATGCACAGGGTGTGTGTGCACACGTGTGTGTGCATGGACTGTTTCATGAGATGTATGTGTATACAGGGTGTGTGTGTGCACGTGGTACATGCTTGAGATGTGCCCTGTGTGTGCACGCACTGTGTGTGTGTGTACAGTGTGTATATGTGCATGGAGTGTGTGTACACAGGGCTTGTATATGCACAAACATGGTGTGTGCACAGGAGCATTTTTTCACAGGCATGAGTGTGACAGTCACCTGCTGACAGGCGGCCTCACCCCTGCCCTCTGTCCCAGAGCCCGGCCCCAGGGCCTCAGCTCATTTACCCCAACATCTGCCTGGGAGGGTCTCGTGCAGAGGGGTGTGGCCCACGCATCGGCAGCCTCAGTCTCTCTGTGTTGTTTTCCCTGGATCTGGGGGTGGGGACCCCCATAGCACTGCCTTTTTCAGCCTGTAGTTATGGGATCTCAGGTCCCCAGGCCCAGGGGCTAATTTCAGAGGGAGAAGTTTCCTTTGCCAGGCAGTTGAATTTTCACATCAGCAAATTCCTCTGAAAGTCAGGGCAGAGGGTGGGCTTTATCCCTGCAGCCGCTAGGGGTCCTTGGGCATCCTCAAGCTCTGCCTCCCAGCACCGGGTGCCGCAGACTCCTGCCTCCCAGCACCGGGTGCCGCAGACTCCTGAGGCCGCTTGGGGAACTCGCAGTCTGCAACTCGGGCACCTTTCGTAATGTCGGGAAAGCAGGGTGCTGCTGTCACGCTTGGCTGAGTGCAGGACACCTGAACGCCTGGTGCCAGGCCCACCCTCCCATGGCAGCGTCGGTGCCAAGTCTGGGACCCTGCCTGCCTGCTGAGTGGCACACCCGGTTCTCCAGGAGCTCAGTTCTTCCTCCACTCAGTGCCTCCTCCCACCTGTCCCTCCTCAGCCCTGCCCTCCCCAGCACTCAAGGCAAGACCAAGACCACACCTCAGTCAACCCCTCCTCCTTCCCAGCCCCACCCACCCTCCTGGCCTGGTGTGGGGCCAGCACCGCCACAAGTGTGCCCCATGCCAGAGTCTCCTCATGCCCTGGCCCCAGCTGGGGGCCCACAGCAAGCCCCCCAGCCTGGTCTCCTTCCTTACAGGAAGGGGACACTGGACACTTGACCCCCTACAGGGAGCCCAGAGCCAGGACTGGGTGAAGGTGCCTTTGGGAGGAGGCAGAGAAGTGTATCGATTGGGACCCAGATGGACAGGTCCCTGTGAGCCGGCACAGGTCCTTGGTGGGTGAGTGCCAGGTTGCCCTCACGGGGACTTTGCACTCTGAGCAGGAGGGACAGCTCAGGTCCCGCCCGCCTTGGGTTTCTGGGCATAGCTTTGGAGGGCAGGGGTCGTTTGCAGCACGGAGCCCTTGTCAGCTTCCAGCGTGTTCTAACATTTGTCATACCAGATGGATTGTCGCCAGCGTCTGGGGTGACATTATTATTCTGTTACTCCCATGATGACAGAGCCAAGGGCTGGGGAGAGGGACCCAGTTCAGCCTGACCAAGCCCAGGGCCCTTCTCCTTCCTCCACCATCACAGCTTCTTGACACCCCATTCCCCAAACCCAGGACCCCAATGCCCAGGGACTCGGGCTGCCCCCCCCCCCAAGCCCCAGGAGAAGAGCCCTGTCCTCCCCAGCCGTGCCAGAGGGTTCTGTCAACTAGCGCTGCTTCCTTATCAACAAGGACATGTCTACAAATAGCTCATCACGTCTCCAATCCAGAAGTGCTGTGTCGTTTCAAAAATGAGCAGAGCCAATGCAGCCGCCAGCCCAGCCGTGGCTACCTGGGCAAGGCTGCTGGTTCATGAATATTCACGGCTCCGATGGCTCCGCGAGCCTCCTCACCATCCGGAATTAAACCAACGAGCTTCCCCTCACAGGCTGCACTCACTGACTTTCAGCTCCTCTCCAAATCGTTCTCTTCCTCGCAGCAGATGGGGATGTGGGGCGGCCTCGACCCTCCTGTGTGCCTGGGCTGTTGTGGCACCAGCACCTTTGCCCCAGTTCCCCATCTCTTAGGCGCTTGACACGTGTCTGCCCCGTTCTCAGGAAGGCCTGGACCCCGTCCCAGCCCTGGTGGGGATAATTACCCCGATGTTCGTTTGCAGCGTTTAATTTGCTTCCTCCGCGCTGGAAGCCCACGTTTGGCGATGTGTGTGTTAGGATGGCCACGTGTCCTTCCCCCATCAGCGACAGGATCTGGGGAGGCCAGGGAGGCTCCTCATTACGCTCCCAGCACCAAGCCCAATCACAGACGTTGCACATGGAGGCACCAGACCCTGCCTGTGGGGAGAGTGGCTGCCAGCTGGGGCACCCGGACGTCCCTGCGTGCCCTGTGCTGGCACAAGGCAGCTCTTCTGTGCTTCCGTGGTGCCTGCGGTGAGGCTGCCCGGGACGCCCCCTGTAGATGCTGCCTCCAGGGTCTGCTCCAAGGAATGGGGAGAACGGGCTTGTGGTGCTGGGGCCTTGTGTGAGGCGGGATGCTACAGACTGGAAGGGTGGGTGGCCTGGAGCTGCTCTGTCTCCAAGCACTGACCGCAGCCCGCGCCTCTGCGTAGGTCCAGGAGAAGTGTGGCAGGGCTGGGTGCCACCACCTGTGAGCCCCTGAACCTCCCCAGGCTGCCAGATCTCACTTCAGAGTGGCCCTGGGCTGCGACGGAGGGGCCTGGGCGTGGCCTCAGGTCAGTTCAGGTGAAGACTCTATTCCTGGCTCAGGAAAGCCACCAGGACAGGTGAGCCCAGCGGCACCTCACGGAGTGAGGCTTTGAGTCCCGTGTGAACAAGGACAGGACACCGGGGCTGCCACAGGTCACAGAGACCCTGCGTCGATACCTGCGTTTTGAGGTGCGGAGACCAAAGTTGAGACCTGGCCACGAAGCAGGTCTGCAGGGACCTCAGAGCCCGGGGCCACTGTGCTGTCCCCAGTCCCATTAAACGCCCAGGGCCACTGTGCTGTCCCCAGTCTCATTAAATGCAGTAAACGTCTTCTGGGCATGCCGCCAGCCCCACAGAAAACCAAAGCAAAGCAGACTCACAGCTCCCACATCCCGGAGCTCAGGTCCAGGAGGGTCTCTGGAAAGGACGGGGCAACTGGAATACTGTCCTAGTCCCGTCTCGGCCCCAGGGCACCGCAGGGGTCTCTCTTGCAGGTGTGTGGTTGGTTTTAGAAGATGCTGAGCCCCTCCCTGCGCACTCGTCCCCACCTGCCTGGCCCTGGCACACCTGGCTGCTTCTCATTCGGGCCTTGAATGAAAGGCCCCCTTCCCCAGAGTCCTCCCTGACTCCCCTCTCACAGGAAGGGTATCTCCTGTTCCCCGCGATGGAGAGTGTTGGTCAACTCTCTCTCCCCAGCCACCTGCGGGGCCCAGGAGGGCTGCACCTGCCTTGGCCATCCCAGACCCACCACCCAGGGCAGACCCTCCACCCAGGGCAGAGCCTCGGACATGGTTGAAGGCAGGAAGGGCTGAAGATGAGGGTGGGTGGTGAGAAAAGGCCTCTGGACGGCAGGGACTTAGACATGGTTCCAAGTATGCACGAGGGGAACAGCTGGGGGCCGTGGGCCCCTGCAGGCCTGATAGAGGAACCCACGGGACTGACTTTTCCTACAGAAAATCCTGCGCAGGGAGATCAAATCCTGGCATCCCAGAGGAAAGGCCCGTGCCGGCCGTGAGCTGCCCACAGCTGCCTGACCCCAGTCTTCTCCAATGAAGTGGCTCTGAGAGGTTTTGTGGTCAGTATCATTTCTGTGTTTGATTTTAGCGCCTGGTCTGGACGGCAAGCAGGAAGAGCTCAGAGCTTCCTCCAGTGTCTCGGGGTGCAGCCGGGAGGAGCTGCCTCGCCCCTGCCTCTGCCTCTGGCTCCTTGCCCCACCGCCTGGCTCTCACCTGCAGCCTGAGAGGAGTCCAGGCCTGGGCTCTTGAGTCTCTCTCTGGCCCACGGGAGGGGCACACCCGGGTCCTGTTCAGAGACGCAGGCTGTCGCCCCTGCTCCTGCTGGAACGTGCAACCCAGAGGCCCTACAAGCACCTCATGCTGCCTCCCTCTTTGTGATCCCCCAGCCCAGCCCTCAGTTAACTGAGTCCCTGCCTGGTAAACGTGCAGCAACATGGCCACAGCAGGCTCTGCCCAACAACGGCCACAGCAGGCTGGACACAGCAGGCTCGGTCCAGCCTGGGCGCCTCCCCGGGTTCTGGTGCTCAGGCAGTTTCCTTCACCTACGTAAGCCCCGACTTTCTCATCCGTAGAGTGGGACAAACGACGCCCAGTGCTCAGCGTGATATCAGAAAAGCCCAAGACAGTGGAGGGCTCAGCACAGAAGACCCATCCATCCGCAGAATCGCACCGAGAGCAGCTCCTTCAAGGGAGCCCGGGACGCCCCGGGGAAGCCACGCTTAGTGACTGGCCCCAGCCGAGGGCCGAACGGGCCAGGGGCTCGGCCGGGGGAACCCCAGGGCTGAACGGGCCGGGGGCTCGGCTGGGGAACCCCAGGGCTGAACGGGCCGTGCTGGACTGAGGGACACTGCCGGGGGCTCGGCCAGGGAGAACCCCAGGGCTGAAGGTCAAGGCCACTGCAAGGCCCCGGGCTCAGGGGAGAGTGGGGACACAGGACCCATCCTCCTCATCTCAGGCTGGTCCTTTTCCCTCCCATGTGGGGGCACCATTGCCAGGCCAATGCCAGTCACTCTGTGATGACCAGGTTGGAGAAAAGCTGAGAACCCCAAGTACTGGGCAAATCCAGAGTCTCGTGTCTTCAAACCAGAGGACGTTAAAAGCTAGGTCAAGAGGTTGGCTTCTTCCACGAGTCCCCACCCTGGGCATTGCCTGGAAGTGAGGGGCCGATGGATTGTCAGGCCACATACCTGAGGGGAAGGGAGCGGTCGGGGCAATGCCCTGGGCAGGGCGCTGGCTCGGGATGGAGGGAGGAGGGTCTCAGATGGCAGGCTTAGGCAGACAGCTCACTCATCCCTGCCTCCAGCGCCCTCGGCCCCTCCACATCAAACTTCCGGTTAATGAAACTCCTCCACGCTGGGAGGTGGAGGCCGGGGAAACCGCTAATTAAGGTTGCTGCACTTTGGCTTCCGGCTTAGTTAGCTGCAACACCCCCAGTGCCCACAGGGGTCCTTTTCTGTCTCCCACAGAGATGCCCAGGAGGCTAAGCCCAGGCAGTCACCATGGGTGGGTCCTGTGTCTCCTGCGGGCTCCAGAGGCATGGGCGGCGTTCCACCTCCAGCCGGCCTGATGGGGCAGAGACACTTCCCCTCAAAGAGATGCACGGTTTTAATAGGCTCTCTGTGCCCAAGCTGAGCTGGCTGGATGCAACCTCTAGGGAGGAGGTGGGCAGGTGGGAGGCAGTCAGGGCCCCCCCTACTCCCTGCGCCCCTGGAGACAGCTCCCAGGCTCCCCCACTCCCTGCGCCCCTAGAGACAGTGCCCAGCCTCTCACCAGAGGTGCCATCTCAGCAGCACATGACAAAGGCATAAGGTTACGGCTTCCCTGGCCCCCAGAATGCGTCCCAGGGTTGGGCAGGGCTCACCCTCACCAAGGTTTAGGACATACCTGGTGTCCACTCTGGAGTCAGCTGACCTGGCCCAGCCCCGAGGTCTCTCTTCCACCTGTCTGCTCCAGGACAGTCGCAAGCCGCTGTGTTGGGTGGCGTTTCTAACCTTGTTCTATCCACAGAACTCGTCTTCAAAAGAAAGTTTACATGACAGAACTGTTTAGAAGAAGGAAAAAGCAGAGAGGCCTTAGCTGAGGTTTTGGTGGTGCCGAGTCAGATCCACCGGCCTGAACTCCATCAGCCCTGCACCCCACCACCCCTGTACCCCACCACCCCTGCACCCCACCACCTCTGTACCCCACCACCCCTGCACCCCACCACCTCTGTACCCCACCACCCCTGCACCCCACCACCCCGTACCCACCACCCCTGTACCCCATCAGCCCTGCACCCCTTCAGCCCTGCACCCCATCACCCCTGTACCCCACCACCCCTGCACCCCACCCCGTACCCCACCACCTCTGTACCCACCACCCCTGCACCCCACCACCCGTACCCACACCCCTGTACCCCATCAGCCCTGCACCCCTCAGCCCTGCACCCCATCACCCTTACCCACCACCCCTGTACCCCTTCAGCCCTGCACCCCACCAGCCCTGCCCACCAGCCTGCACCCTACCAGTTCTGTACCCCACCAACCCTGTACCCACCACCCCTGTACCCTTCAGCCCTGCACCCCATCAGCCCTGCACCCCACCAGCCCTGTACCCCACCCCCCATGAGCCCTATACCCACCAGCCCTGCACCCCATGAGCCCTGCACCCCCTCCCACCAGCTCTGCACCCAACAATCCCTGAACCCCACCCCTACCATCCCTGCACCCCAGCAGCCCTGTATCCCAAGCACTGTACCCCACTCCCTACCACCTCTGTACCCCAACTGGCCCTATGCTGCTACCACTCTTGCACCCCCACCAACCCTGACCCTCATCACTCCTGTATCCTCCAGTCAGCCCTGTATCCCACCCCCACACTCCCCACCAGCCCTGTACCCCACCACCCCCCACCCGCCCCCCCAGCCCCGTACCCCCACCAGCTCCGTACCCCCACCAGCCCTGTACCCCCACCAGCCCTGTACCCCCACCAGCCCCGTACCCCCACCAGCCCTGTACCCCACCACCCCCACTCCCCACCAGCCCTGTACCCCCACCAGCCCCGTACCCCCACCAGCCCTGTACCCCCACCAGCCCCGTACCCCCACCAGCTCCGTGCCCCCACCAGCCCTGCACTCCAGCCCCAGCTCCCTGTGCAGACTCCGAGGCATTTCCCGGGAACCCAGGATTCCAGGAAGCACCGTTCAGAAACTGCCTGGTCTGCTTGTGTCTGTAACTCAGATCTTGTGTCAACTTTCTCAGCAATAAGTGATACCCACTTCGGGGGAGAAGCTACTCCCAGGTTCACTGATTTTTCTCTTTGTACACTTTTCTTTTAATGAATTTTTAATTCCGTGGGTAAAACACGAATAGGTTTTCCTTAGAAAAGAGTTCAAAGCAGCCAAAGGGAACTTCCCGTGACGGCTGCCCAGTACCTGCTGTGGAGGAAGCGGGGGGTGGGGGGAGGGCAGGCGTGCCCCTCCCTCTCCACTGCTTTCCCACAGCGGGGTGTGGGGTGGGGGTGTCGAGGTCGGGGGAGCCCAGGAGCAGAGGTGTGAGGCGCAGGTCCCCACCCTGAGAGTACACAAGGGCCTCCGTGGGAGCTGCTGACCTTTGCGGGCTCGTTGGCCACCGGCTTGGGTCGGCAGTCTGGGCAGAGGCCACACAGCCTGGGCCCCTCGGGACGGGTTCCCTGGAAGAGGGGCTCCCATTTTCACCCTTGACACACGGTTCAGAGGCCAAGCAAACCAAGTGTCTGTGGCAGGTGGGTCGGCAGCTCACGTCCAGGGCCCCCTGCCTGGGCTCGGTGCCAAGGCCTCTGGGAGACCCCTCTACGCAGCCCCCAGGGTCACGGTCTGCAGGCTCTCAGGCATCTGCTCTGAGGACACCTCAACCCAGGGCTGCCAGGGGCGCAGCTCTGCCCCCAGCCACTCTGGTCGAAGGGCCGCCGTGGAGCTGTGCCGGGGAAAGCCCCTCCCTGTGGGCCTCCCCGACCTGGGTGGGCTGGCGAGTGGCTTTGCCTGGGAGAAATAAAGGCTCTGGGTGTAGACACAGCAGAGGAACTGGTGGGCCCACCAGAGAGCCCCCGGGCGACTGCCGGGACCGAGGACCTGGGTTTCCCCATGATCCCTCCTTGGGGGGTGGGGGCAGAGGGAGCCCCCATTCAGCTATCTGGGGAGCTCAGTTCTTTGGCCCTTGGCCTGGGCTGAGAGCCAGGGGCACCCAGGCCCCTCCAGCTCCGAGCTGCGCCGGGGAGGGGTGTGTCTGGGGGGAGCGTCAGCAGCCAGTCGTGGTAGCGGCTTTGCCTCTGCACACCCAGACCAGGGAGAAACGGGGAAAGCTTCCATCCCACGGCTGGCTCTGCCGAGACGTTTCTAAATAAATGAGCTTTGCGGGCGGCAGGTTGATGCGTCTGGAGTGTGGGGTCTCCCCCAGCTTCCGGAGCACATGCCTCCCACTGCACCACCACCTCCCCGGCTCTCTGAGGAAAATTCATTCATCTTTCAACACCTCATCCCTGGCGAGACCATCCAGGCCCATCCCCCACCCCGAATAGCCTGTGCGTGTTTCCATAGCAACCTGCATGTGCCTCTGCCGGCCACATTTCATGAGGCCGTGAGCTCTTTGAAGGCATGGCCTTGACTTGAATCATTCACAGGGTGCATAGTGGACGGGTGAACCGTGACCCGAAGCCAGCCTCAGGGGCAGGTGAGCCAGCCCCTCCCGTACCATTCTCTGGACCGTAGCTCATCCCCCCGCCGATTGCGTCTTACCATCATTTGACAGACAGAGGCCAAGGCCCAGAGAGAGGGGGCCCTCCCCTTCAGCAGCAGGGAAACGGGGGTCACGCTGGCCCGAGACAGCACGCCCCTCCTGGGGGGCGGCACAGGAGACGGAGTTCTGCAGACGGGAAAAGCCAGCTGCCCCCCTGCACACCGGGGCACGCTGGCCCTGCTTCTTCGGAATGAAGGCTGCACTGGCAGAAGCAGCTCAGACGTTCACCTGCTTCAAATCCCGGGCCGTCCTCTGGTCTCAAGGCCAGGAGGCAGGGCCCACTGTCTGCTCCCTCCTGCCGGATGGAGCCTCGGGAGGCTGAGGATAACGGGGGCGTGGGAAGGGCTTCTGAGCCCCCGTGCTGAGCAGCAACACCAACCCTCCGAATGCCGGTGAGAATTCCGGAGCAGCTGGTTGACTCCGTCTGGCAGGCGTTTCCCTCCCAACAGCAAGGCAGCCCGGGCTTCCAGTGTCTACCTTGTAAATATCTAGGGCATTGCAGGGAAGCTGAGCTGGCACCGGGTGAGCCGACGTCAGCTAAGGGTCAGCCCTGGGGCCGGGGGTGTGATGGCACAGCTGTGGCCCAGCCTGGGGGCTTCCGTCGCTGCTGAGTGCCTCGCAGTGTGGCAATTGAAAAAGCCTCCTCCCTCGGCATCGAGCTGCTCCTCGCCGGAGGCATCTGAACAACTAGTATAATTTCAGATACACACAGGCACTCCGTTTCAATTTTTGACAGTAAAACCATTATTTCTGATGCCCATTTCTCACCCCACAGAAATTACTGGAATTTATCTGCATTAGGAAATAAGGAACGGGCACCGGGCCGGGCCAGCCTCTGTTACCCTGTGCATTAATTAATCCATTCATTCATTCTTCATCAAACTGTCACTCCTCTCCCACCATCTTCCAGCCAACACTTGGCAAAGTGCAACGGGGGGAGCCGTGCCATGAGGACGTCTTCTTGGTGGGCTGTGGGGTCGCGGAGCTCGGACCCGAAGCTGCATGCTTGCAGGAGTGGTAGTAGGCTGTTAGGAGCTGAAACCAGGGGGCCTTACTCAACGCGGGGCCTTCCCCAAGCGACAGAGCTATCCAAGGTGCTGACCTCACCTGCTCCCCAGGATGAGCAGCTCCAAGGGTCACCCAGGGAAAAGAGCAGGGGAGAGTCTGAGGTGGAAGACGCGGAGTGTTGGGGAAGGGGTGCATGCACACAAAACAGCAACTCCAGCCTCCCAACACCACCCTCCGCCTTGTGCTCCAGGGCCCCCCATTCACCCGCGCTGCGTGGTACCCTCCTTTAGGGCCATGCCTGT